TTTTTTTTTTGGTACTGGGGATCGAACTCAGATCCTTGCGTTTGCGAGGTAGGCAGAGGAACCACTGCGCTAAATCCCCAGCCCAGAACCACTCTTGAACTCTCTGGATGAGCAGTCAGTCATAGGGTCAAGAGGATGAAGACAAGCTTCAAACATCTGCACCTTAAACGTTCCTGTCCATGCTGGGGTTTGTTCCCGAGTTCTTGAGGGTGAAAAGCACCATGCATGGCAGAGGATAGAAAAAGGCATTGTTTGTGGAGGGTATACAGACTGTGAGCCTCCGTGGTGCAGGACGGAGCTGGGGTGGGACAAGGCAGGGCTGGGTCAGGGATATAGGCCTCCATTTACACTCTTGCCTTGGGCCTACCAGTGTTAGGCATGGACCCGTATAAAGTAAGGAGAAACTAACAAGAGATAGAACAGTACCCCAAGCTAGCAACCAAGAAACCATGATTAACCCTAGGCCTAAAGGACCAAACAGAGAGGGCAGCTTCCAGAATCCAGGAGCTGTGGGAGAAAGCTACCGCTAGGAGCTCCAGTCTTTGGCTTGTGAATGGAACTGACTCCAGGGAAGATCTCCAGGCAGTCAAGGTTATTTACACCAAGTTCATTCTCCTCTGGCTCACTGAAATCCTGACAGCCCCCTCCCCTACCCCACACCAGTCCTAACCAGAATCATGAAGGGTGAGGGAATGTTAAAGCAGTCCACAAAGGCCAACCCTCACAAGGCAAAGAGGAAGAGTGCAGCTGGATCTGGAGTATTAAATGGTAGGCATCATCCATTCTACTAAAAAGAGTAATGTAGTATGTGAGTAAGCAGCTGGGACTGCGGAAGAGCAAAAATGTTACCTCAGCACTGAAAAAAAGCATTGGTACCTCTCTTCTCTGGATACTTAGTTTTTATCTATCTGTACCTCTTTCTTTCTATTCCTTCCTCCGACTAAGTTTATCTCCTTGACCAAATTTAGGTTCCCTCGAGCTCTTTTCTCAACTAGGCCCTGAGTTTTGGGCTTCTGTGTTAATCTTTTCATTGTGCAATTTTAGCAAGAATCCTGCTAAGTCAGTGTGACCAGTATCTCCCACCCTACATATCTCACCTCTCTTGATATTTGATCAGGTTCCTTATCCCTTCTTCGTTCACGTGATGCCCGATTGCTTTGGTCTGTCTTCCTCAAGATTCCTGTTAGGTGGATTTTGCCAGATCTCCCATATCACTGATGTTTCTGCTTAGCATTTTCCGTCTACTGATGCCCAACCTGCTCCTTGGCTATAATTCTCATTTTTCCTTATTGAGTTCAGGATTGAGCCCAACCCGTCTCCCTTATTTCAAAACCCCACTGCAGTATTTCCTATGCCTATGGCAAGGGTCCTAATAACAGAGAATTATATTATTGATTTGTGTGTTTACTATATTACATACATGATTGGGGGGCACTAGGAATTGAACCCACAGACTTGTGCATGGTAGGTATAGCCCTCTACCGCTGAACTATACCCCAGCACCTCTTGTTAAAAAATAAAGTTTGGTGTAAGACAGCATACTACAAGTCCCTAGTGACTAATAATGCTTAGCACATTTTCATGTGTTTATTGGCCATTTTTCTATCTTTGGAAAGGTCCAATAAGTCTCTCAGCCATTTAAAATTTTTAATTGGATTTGTGGTTGGATTTTAGAAGTTTTTTATATATTCTATATATTACACTCTTATGGGATATTTTCTCCCATTCTCTATATGGCCTTTCCTAATAATGCTCGTTGACTGCACAAGTCTTCAGTTTTGATAGTGTCCAATTTATGTTTGCTTTAGTGAGAGACCATCACCTAAAGGTCATGAAAGTTTACACCCATGTGTTCTTCAAATAGTTTCATACTTTTAATCCTTTATTTAAGACTTTGGTTCACTTTGATTTAGTTTTTGTATATGGTTGTGAAGTAAGGATAATCTTTATATTTTTAAATGTTTACATCTTATGTGATCATTTAAGTGCCTACACAATGTACTTAATTTTTATTCTTGACACATAAAGCCTAAAATATTTGCTATCTGGGTTCTTCATATAAAAAGCTTGCCAACCCCTATAGCAAGATGCAGCCTTTGCATATAAGGTGTTTAATAAATGTTTAATGGATATATTCATTCAACAAATATTTATGAACCTTCTACTGAACACAAAGCACTTACCAATGTATTATGGGGTAGGAAGAGGTTTCAAAGATAAATGAGAAATCATTAAGGTCCTTATCAAATTTATTACATCTAAGTAATAGTTAAGTTTACCTAGCCAAGATGCCAAATGCTAGGGATTAAAAAGTTTTCTTTGTAAATGTCAGTCCTGAATGGTGACAAAAGCTGAAATGTAACAATTATTTCAAATTGTCTTTAGAACAAGATACATAATAATTTAGAAAGATACACGTAATAGAGTGTACATGCACGTCCACACTCATTTCCTTTTCTTTGGTAAATTCTAGAGAAATTAACAGAGCTGTGAACTACTAAGAATGATTGGAATTACTGTCACAGGAGAAAGAAAAACATTGGCACCACAAGCTGATCTTTCTGCACCCTTTTTTGTTAGTAGGATAGTCTTGTGTAGGCAGCAAAGAGAGCATGTTATTGCTTATCTGTGGATCCAAGAAATGAAATTAAAATGTTCTTGCAACTGAAATCTGTCTTGTGTATCACAGTCCTCTAGAAGTGACCCAGTGTCCCTGCTCATGAGTGGGAAAGGACACATTTTACATTTCAATCTCTCTTAATGGATAGAGGTACAAATGAGGCAAACACAAAAAACACGAATCTGACCCCCTTTGTGAGGCTTTATGTCAACAAATCCTTTGAAAAGTGTATGAGTTAGGGTTTGCGTTTGTAACAGGAAACTCAACAGAACAGTGACATAAGCCAGAGCCCTCATTTTACCTGTGTAAATAAGGCCTGCAGGTAGGAGTCAGGGCACACTGGCGCTCCTTCCACACAGCTATCTTCAGCATGTGGGTTGATGATCCGGGCACAACTGGCTCCTCCACCCTCACCTCCACTTTTGCATCTATATAGCAGGGAGAAGGGAAGGGAAGGGGCAAAATGTATGTGCTGGATGAATCTGTGCTCTTTTCTAGAATCTTCCCTCAGTGACCTTCATGTCCTTCTTATTGGACAGAACTGTGTCACAGGGCAATTTCTAATTTCAAGAGAAATGTAGCTTTATAGCTAGGTCCAAATAAGGGACCTATCAATTAAGGAAAAAAAGTTAAGGGTGTATCCCACATATACTGTTCTCACTTGGAAACCCAATGCTGACAACTTCTGTAATCTCTAACATACACATGATTTACCAAGAAGTTTACTAAAATGCAGACTGGGATTCAACAGAACTAGGGAGGAGTTTGCAAATGCTGACCATACTCCAAAATAGGAAAATCAACGAGTCTTCTCTTCAGTCAGAAAAGAATCAACTGATTTCTTGCTTTTGGTTTAATGTATGATTTAAAAATTTAAATCATATTTTTCACATGCTACTATGATGAAATAAGAACAACTCAAGTGATCTGTAGTATCTTTGCAAATATATTTTGAGCTATAATCACATAATGAAAACACCATCAAATAAACAGAAACTGTGGGATTTTGTACAAGTGGCCTCAACTTGTCAAAAAAAATTAATGGCATGACAAACAACAGAGGCAGGAGAACTATTCTAGATTAAAGAGACTAAGAACACAACAGCCAAATGCAGTGCATAAACCTTGATCATTCCTGAATTTAAAAAATAATCAGCCCTAAAAGATATTTTAGAGACAACTGGGTAAATTTAAATTTGAGTCATATTGTACAATTAAGTTACATTATGGAATTTATAAATTTTCTTAGGTGTAACCATACTAGCTTTTGTAAGAGAAGGTCCTTATTTTAGGGAGTGTCATTTCAATTATTTAGGGGAGAAGAACCATTAATGGCTGTA